TTTTTTTTTTTACATAAACAAAAATATTCTTAAGTTGAATCATAAATTTCTCTTAACTTAGGGCTTAATTCAAAAAATCATCTACTAATTTTCAATTTAATTTTAATTTCATCTATTATCTTTGAATTGTTTCAATTCTGTCTATTATCTTTCACATTTATTTCAATTTCATTTAGGCAGTTAAAGTTAACAGAAATCTTAACGAAAATCTTCTTAAACCTTAGTACTCTAACTATGTTTCTTTTAATTATTTAGTTCTTAAATTTATATCTACAGTAAAAATAGTTTTTATTCTTATTTTGTTAAATGTGTTTTTTAGAAAATTATTTTACAGAGCAGACTGCTTTCAGTCCATCTTGTAAAATTATTTAAATACCCTTAATTCTATTTTTATATTATTTTTGTATGAACATTTAAATAATTTTATAAGACAGATTATACATAATCTGTTCTATAAAACAGACTTACTCGTAAAATTTCTTATTCTGAACTTACTGAATTTCTCTGTCTGAATTACAATCTATCTCTATAAACTATTTTTTGATTCATTATATTTTATTAGGATTTAAGTGTTACTTTTTTAAAACTCAAAGGACTGCTCTTTCTTCAAATCTAACGGCAATCTAACGTCCTCTTTGTACGGTAAACTAATTTGAAATATTTTTCAAAACTTCTAGATCATTTAGAAATGAAACAAACTTTCTAGACTAAACTGAAATTAAACTGAAAGTTAGTAGATGATTTTTTGAATTAAGCCCTTAACTTAGTGAAAAAACCAAGCACCATCCCTCTATTCATGGAACATCCGAACGGTAAAAAAAATAAGTAAGTATTGAATATAAAAATATTATATTTATAAATATTAAATTCAATTTAAAAACGTTGTCTTTGGTCATTTTCTCTCTTTTTATTTCTCAAAAGAAACTTTTGTCAGATTAAAAAAAAAAGCAACTTTGTTATGGTTGACTAGATAAGTTGATTAGAAATGTTGTCTAGTGTCGTCTACACGTTTTTTATTTAGGTTAAACCCCCATTTTGGTCCCTCAACTATCATACGGACCCCCGACTTAGTCCCTCAACTCAAAAAATCTCTGATTTGGTCCCCACTGTTTATCATTTTAACCCCAATTTAGTCCCTCCGTTAAAAATCCAGTGACATGTCCCGTTAATTAACTGGAGAATAATGACGTGTCCAAATAACTTGACACATCAGATGCATACTTGAAAAAAAAGACAACACGACGAAAAAAAAATAATGACATGGAAAAAAAAATATAAAAAACTTTAAAAATGATGACGTGTCCCTTTCTTTTCCCCTTGCAACCCAACGCCTACTGGGTTCCTTCGAACCCAGGGCTTGGGTCTCGATGGAACCCAGGCAGCCTGGGTTTCCCAGGCATCTTGAACCCAAGCTCTGGGTTCGTTCGAAACCCAGGC